AAAGAGCTGCTCCGCCCACTTATTAAATGATGGAGTTCGCTGTTTATTAGTCTCATGATTGAAATACTGATAGTTGGTTTTAATACTTTCAACACTACTATATAACAAATAATTAGAGCCTGAAGATGGCGTTGACGCCGAAAATTTGCCTACATTCCTAACTTCTTGTTTCATTTCTCCGCCCACTTATTCAGTAGAACTTTACCAGAATATCACGTTATAATGCACAAGGTACTAGCTTAAAATCCTGGTGGTGCATTGTCTAGCATTGAATTATATACACCTTTATATCACCATACTTGAATACTACATGAATACCACTTGAATACCACTACATGAATCTCAGGATATCTTCATGAATATACACAATACAGACACATGTATCAGTAGGTTCACTTAGCAGTTTGATTTGCATACCATCTAGAAGTAGACGACAGTATTGTGTAAACAGTATAATTTCTGTGACGTAATGTTCGTCTAGCCCCCTCTGACAGCTGGATTACGAAGCAAAGCTTTAGACAGCTTGGGCGGCCTACAAATGAAGAGTCCGAAATTAGAGAATAAATCGTACTTATCTCTCCACAATTGCTGGCCCAAACATGAGTATCCAGCTGACAATGGAAATGCCCGAAATTATACAATTAGGAGCGCTATATGGCCTCACATGGGCACCATTCTGCTGCACTATTAGTATGCTTTCGATAGAAAATTAAAGGGGCGCCATATCCAAATCCACATAGGATTTAAACGGTCCGACACCCCGTTGGCCGTTATGGTACTATTTTAATGTTTCATGGAACAATCTTTCCTAATAGGGGCATATCGGCGGGTATAAGTAACCCATAATTTATCAAATAACAGGAATTAAGGTCTATGCTAAGTCAGTGTCTGACGCCCGCCCATGTTGGCGATAAATCGTGTTATTTAGTCGTATCGAGCATGATATCGTATTTATATTATTGCAAATATATCGCTGTACTATTTTTCCCGTTATTTTTCATTAGGCTGTCTTTTATCAGGTTACAGTCTGCTGGGTTTGACTAAGCTGTTTTGTATTTTAATGCTTAGTAAAATACCACGATATGCCTACCATAGAATGAACCATTAGGTGATAATCGATATATATACACCAATGGTGAAGAGTCAAAAATGAGTTCAGGGCTACCTTACATCTACGCTGAGGTTAGGACAGTTTTTCGCTGCTATTTTAACAGAAAAACTAGCGTGACGCGTAATGCCTAGTACCATACAACGTCATGCAACATGCCCCGAATACCCTGCTTCTGCTGTGGGTAGGAAATAGATATTATCCAGGCAACATATAGCCTGTTTCAGGGCTCATGATTCTAATTGCAAGGTATTGTTAAGCGTACGTAACACACCATTATAGCCTGTTTCAGGGCTCATGATTCTAATTGCAAGGTATTGTTAAGCGTACGTAACACACAGTCCACACATGATCAACCTGTTCGTACTTTTCCTGTTTCCATTCGCAAGGCAATGCAGTAAGACTCATAAAGTTATAATTGAAATACTAAAATACTTAGCCCAGCGATTATAGAACGCAATCGAGTCTAGCCTCTTTTGTGCAATCTGTGGTACAGGACCAGCTCGCATTAAACAGGTCACAGGACAATCTCGTGCGACCTATAAAAAGCAGAGTGATCTTAGGGTCACGTCTACCATCCATCCCCGGAGCCCATTAACAGTTGGTCTGATTCTGAGTGATCTTATCCCACTTTACGATCATGACGATTGTTCTCGGTTACTGATTTTCAAAGTAGCCCAAGTCGAGTCAAATATGGCTTGTGCTTTATAGCTTGATTGACGTGCGAGTTGCCCGATGATTTAACTTAATAATCATTATTACTTCATAACCATTATTATAATGGCGACTGACACCACCCTACTCCCCCAGACTACTTAACCGGCCTGGAGAGAACTATCTCAATTCCGCCCAGCCTGCGGGGATTCTTCAAATAGTTTCCCTAACTCAAAATAGCTTCCCATAAGTCTCTTTTCGCCTCTCGTCCGGTTTACTTAAAATACTTCGTACTAAGTCTAACTGGTATCTGAGGATTTTGGAGCCAGTAAACTGTCAACGTCTTGTAAGTTCCTTAGTTTCTATTGTTACAGTTTGTCGTCACTGGTCATGACGGCGGTTTTTATGCAAGGTAAAGCCCTTCGATCAAACTTCAAAGTACGATATGTTCATGAAGTTTCTTCTTTTAAGTTTTAATTCATCAAGATTAAGTATGCATTTCGTGAGTTACAGCTTCTCAACAAGCCAATACTTGATGACAAATTTAAAGGCTTCGGGTGACTTTGAGTCGCCTTAGGTTAAGTTAGACAGCCTTATGATTGCTGAAGTTTAGTCGCAAAAAATTGTTGCCTTACATTTTTATTTGCTGAATTTAACGTGCTTTATTAAATTAAATAAAATCATACGATTCCTGCTGTACTGTCGTTTACACTCCATCATGAATCTTAAATCATCTTTATTCTGTAGAAGTATATTAAGTATAGAGTACCATTCGCTTTCAAATAACCTAATTTGTTCTCTTTTACTTTTTTGCATTTTTACATTTTTTAAACTGACATTGTAAATGTAAAAACAGATACACTTTTGCTATGAGGTAACTAAAGTTGAATACTGTTCTCTAAAGAATCCATAAAACACTTGATCAACTAGGATTCGATCTTGTTTACTATATTTGACTGTCTTCATTTGTTAGCAAATTACAAAAAAAGTGGCTGAACCCAACTTGAAGCTGACAAGAAGGTTTTATTTATTGAGACCATTGAGAACATTGCATCTTTTCAGAGCCACTTAAAGTTAGAGAACCACCTAATATGATCAACTATAGCGTGTGTAATTGTGTTAAATTGACTTGTTTTCACTTTTCTCTATTTTATCTCAGTGTTTATTCTGACCTAATCGCAGCACCAATTTAAGGACTAATGGCTGATCGTTTCCTCAATAAACCTAATGTTTATAATGTTTATAATGTTATTTACATTTAAAGTAGTTTTTGGACAATATTACTTTTACTTTACGGTCATGATTATATATAATACATAATATTTATTACTTTTACTTTACGGTCATGATTATATATAATACATAATATTTATTACTTTTACTTTACAGTCATGTTTATAAATATACACAATATTTATTAATATTACTTTACGGTCATGTTTATATATAATACATAATATATCCTTATATTACGTGATATCCACTTAAAAGGGAGAGCAACATAATATATATATATAGTAGCTTTACTCGCAGCTCACGCGAATAATATCACATTGACATACTATAAGTATAACTACTGACTCAAATACAGTCTAACCTAGCACACGTATAACTTGATACTAAGGATCCAAGTTATATCCTAACGATAGCAAGTGAGGCATCCAACTCACAAACGAGAAGTGAAAAGCAGTCATTAAAGATGGACTTGTTAACAATAACCACGCCGAAGCCCGGGCAGATCCGGACCTCTCCCCTCTAAATCAGTAAACGCCGATGTTAAATCGAGCGCAAATCTCAATAATCAATTTCGCCCCCTTCCCTGTACCGCTAAATTTCAGAATTGTGTCTATGCACCAACTAAATGCCAGTTGTAACCACAACTTCATGCCGGCCTATGAAACATGAGTAATCTTTAAGAAATGTTAATTTGAGCGTTGGTTTTTCCATTATTATGATTCTGAATACTAAAATGAGCACTGTCCGTCGGTAGTAGCTAGATCTTTATTTCGATCTTACTTTTGGTATCGACTTTATTTTGTGTCCTTGGTTACTTACTAAGTTTGGTGTTAGCAAGGTCATCCCATTGTATCATTATCTGTTTTGTTTCGTTCGTTTCTACAGTAGAAGATAGATTCGTAAATAATTCGCTCTTTTTTAATTGCAGAATAGTTTAAAAAAGCCGAATTTCTAGATCTCACTGATCTTGCAAAGGTCTTGCATAGGTTCGTTCAAGAAAAATGTGCGATTCTAAAATGGCAGGCTATGAGGCGCAGGGGGCCGTGGTGTAATCATAATTAGGAAAGTGGTTAAGGAGGGCCACAAATGAGGAACCACTTGCTATGGTTAGCTGGACTGTGAGTAATAAGTAATTACCCTAATATCATGCCGGATATTTGAAAGGGGCGCTGGGAGACCGTAAGAAGACTGAAACAGGCCTAAGAAATCTAAAATTAGCAATTACTGAGAACGGTTACCACCACGGTTACCACGGCCCAGCCCGCTCTTCTTTCCCAACTCCTAAATACTTAAATAGATTGGGCTCGGTTTCGTGACCCAGCTCATCCTGAAACTCTGAAAGTCCATAATGGATAATTTGCGGTTTGGAGGCTGGTAGCAAGTGTAATGTCTATAAGAAGGGTTCGAGCCCAGGCCCAAAGAGCAGTGTCTCTGGTTTACTCATGTGCTTTGTGACCGTTATTATAGGCCGTGCAGCTCTCTCTCACATCTTTATTGCTAGGTCGAGTTAGGACCGTTTAACTGGTGCATTATAATACGTGTGACTGAATATTCTTTTGTTTGTGACCACTTTCTTATAATTAGAAGTGCATTAAAATCCTACTCTCAAAGTTTTAAATCTATAACTTTGTATAAGGTGTACCAAAATTATAACTATTACCAAAATTATAATCATAATCATAAGCCGCTGCGTGGCCAATGTGAGTATTACTGTTAGTGCGATCCAGAACTCTAACAATTTTAGGAAACAATATGCGTTAGTAAATGCGTTTTTTTTTTTTTTTTTTTTTTTTTTTTAAGAGAGGCTGGGCATAGAAAGCCCACTAGAGGATAGCATTAAGATGCTTTGCCTACCTCTGGGATGAGGGGGGGTTTATTGGAGACAACAGTGTGAATTGTGGAGGACGGTGGTGGTAATGATCTGAATGGGAATACCGCGCTTTGGTACCAGATGAGTTTATAGATCAGTTAGGCAAGGCTGCAAATGTGATGTGTTAATGCGCTAAGTTACGCCAGTCTGATCCAGTTCTTCTGGTACTATTAAGCGTTTGGTGCGGTTTGTGAAGTTGACGATTGTGGTAATGTGGTGGTTGTCGAATATGTCGTTGACCGAGAGGTAGTAGTCCCGAAAGTATTGACCTCTTAGTTGGGCAATAGCTGGGCACTGTCCAAGAAAGTGTGAGACAGTTTCCTCTCCGTCACCGCACATAGGACAAGCACTGGTGCTAGATTTGCGGATGGTGTGAAGGTGTTTGTTTAAGCCACAGTGGCCCGTGATTAGGTGGACTGCGGTTCTATAGTCTTGTCTATTGTTGATGAGTGACGTGTTTATATTATTGATTATTTTGGTGTGCTTTTGGCCAAGTGTTAGTTTGGTGTGTCTAAGACCATCCGTTAACCAGATATCCTGATTCAGTCTGTGGACTTTGTTGTTGATTTGTCGTTTGATGTAAGATTGAGGGATTGGGCATTTCAAAACGTGTTCGCTGGTCGTGCCAAGCTTGGCCAGCTCATCCGCTTTTTCATTTCCCCACAACCCAATATGGGCTGCGATCCATCGGATCTCTAGAGTGTTGTTCGATCCGAGTGCGTTAAGGGTGTCATAACAGTCTCTAGTAGTTCTGCTCCTCGTTGAAAGCGAGGAAATAGCTTGTATGGAGGAGAGACTATCAGACCATATAATGATGTGTGAATTGGTGTAGGATGAGAGATACTTGCAGGCTTCAATGATTGCAGTAAGCTCCGTCTGGTAGACAGTGCAATAATCAGGGAGCTTGAATGATCTCTCTTCCAGGATGGTGTTGTTGTTGTCAGTCGTGATGATGTACCCAGCCCCACTTCCGGAGTCTGATAGAGACCCGTCTGTGTAGCAGGTGATCGTTTCACTGGTAATGTTGTCGATGGTGTGTTGGAGTGCGGTTCTGTATTCAGTGTTGTTAGTTCCAGGAGTGGTGACGGTGAAGTGCCGTCCCAGCATCATGGTTGGTGCTGTGAGGTCTCTTGTGGCTCTAGGTGGTATGTTGAGATCCTCCATGAATTGTTTGTTGATTGTGGTGTGGTTTTTGATAGTTCCCTTCCTGTGGGCGATAGTTTCAAGAGTGAGGCTGCCGTAGGCTTGAAGCCTTGCTGCTCCCTTCGCTGCTTCGCCCCTCAGGAATAGTATGGTGTCTGGGGTGTCAGTAAGGTGATTCAATGCGAGAAAGGGTGTACTTGGCATGGCACCAGACATCATTCTCAGTGCCAATGCCTGCACACGTTTGAGCTTCCTCGCATTGTAGTCCGTGTCAATTGCCCTGATCCATATACTACAGCAGTAGGACAGAATGGGTTGAATGACCGCTGTGAACATCCATATACAAGTTTTAGGGCTCATACCCCATGTGGGGCCGACAGCTCTTCGACATTGCATGAGGGATGCCGTGGCTTTTTTGGTGATGTTGATGATATGTTCATTGTAATTGAGTTTGCTGTCTAATGTCACACCTAGGAATTTAGCCGACTTCGAGAGACCTATAATGTTGTTGCCAACTTTTATTGGTCTCAAAGTCCACTTAGTATTCCAGGTAAACATTACTATCTGAGTCTTGAGTGCGCTGATAGATAGATCCTTGGTTTGGCACCATTTTTCTATCGTATTGATGGTTTTGCATGTGCGGTTCCAGATGATGTCCAGGTCATTTCCTTCTGCTAGTGATGCCAGGTCATCTGCGAAGGCTTGCAGGTAACCCGGTATGTCCTTCGCAGTAAAGGAGAGGAGATCGTCGACTACCAGGTTCCATAGAAAAGGAGAAAGGATGCCTCCCTGTGGGCAGCCTCTCCTGATCTGTACCCTTCTCGACTTATCCTTATGACTTAGATTGATAAAGCGATTAGTGACCATGTTGATGATCCATTGCGCTGTAGCTAGGTCCACTTTCGTGGCCCTGACTGCATCAGAAATAGCTTAGAACGAGACGTTGTCGAAGGCGCCCTCTATGTCAAGAAAAACTCCTAGGACATATCCCTTCTTAGCTATTCTGCGCTCAATGGTGTGGGTAACTTTATGAAGAGCCGCTTCTGTTGAGCAGCCCTTCCTAAAGCCGAATTGACGTTTGTTTATGTCATTTGCTATGTTGAGGTCGTGTTGCATGTGCCACAGAATCACTTTCTCCTGTAATTTTAGCATCACAGGTGAGAGAGTGATTGTGCGAAAAGACTTAGCCTTGTTGTAGTCGGTTTTGCCGGGTTTGGGGAGGAAGATTCCGATGGAATCCCTCCACAAAGTAGGGATGTGTTGTGTTTTGTGATTATTTGTCATGATGTTTTGTGTTATATCTTTGATATGGTTCTAGTAAATGCGTGTCACATAATGAAAAACTGTGATAAACCAACCATGTGACCAGCTATAATCGACCTGCACTTTTTTCTGGGACACTTCATATTTTGACAATTTCAGTTGTGCGCAATAAATTCTAATAAAAACCGTTCACTATTATATAGCACATATAACTACATGAACCTTCCCTATAATTCTGAACTGCGCACAGCCGTCATTGCCGAAGGTATTACTATTATGCAATAGTATTGTAAATAGTATTGTAAAAACACGATATACCAGATCTCCTGGCATATGAAATACACATACCTTAAGATCGACAAACCATAAATTTAGTCAAACTTTTGACTAACATTTTTGTAAACCAAATTTCATGAGACTAAAGTTTAAACCAATTTATTGTGAACCAAATTTATTGGCCTTAAGGTATTTAAGTAAGAGTTACAGTTCAATTATTTCTGGTCCATCCTAGATAAAAACCAGGTAGAGTTTACAACCCTTCTGTGGAAAGGTAACAAATCGTTTTGTTACACTGTAGCAATTGCATACCCTAGTAAGGGTTTGGAGTTACTTGAGAACACCACCTATGACTACCTCGAGTTGATATGCGAAGTTGGTTCAACAAACATTATACCATCGAAGAAAAAACCGAGACTTGATGCTGAGTGCAGACAGTTGAGGGAAATGAAGAAAGAGAGTAGAAAGGAATGGAAGAGAGTATGTGACTCGAATGATGATGAACAGGTTAAAAGACAGAAGATTTCTTACCTGAAACTAGTACGACTTCATAACAAAGCAAGAAAGACCGCCCAGAAGAAAGAAAGGAAAAAGATGAAAGAGAATAGCTCCAAACTCTTTAGAAGAAACCCTTATGAGTATGGTAAGAACCTGCTCACGAAGGAAGAGACTAAAGATAAAGAGCCTGAGTTCGACAGTGAAGAAGCATCTAAGTTCTTTGAAAAGGAGTACAAAGATGATGACCGAGAGCGTGACTATGTAAACCCCACAGGACTGAAAGACCTTGACAAACCTAATTGGATCTGCAGTACAGCGCCACCCACATGGGATGAATTCCACCTAAAGCTAAAGTCAAGGAGAAATAAGTCAGCACCTGGGTCAAATGGTGTCAACTACCTGATCTACAAGAAGTGTCGAACTTTCAGTCACCATCTACACCATCTGATATGCAGGATTTGGAAAACAGGAGTTGTCCCCCCACAGTGGAAGGTGGGAGTAAGTACATTAATTCCTAAAACGGATGATCTAAAAGATCCTGGCAAGTTCCGTAACATCACACTCCAAAATTGTAGTGGGAAGCTGTTCTTTGCCATCTGGGGAGACCGTGTACTTGAGCACATGACACGAAATCTGTTCATTGACACCTCAGTACAGAAAGGTTTCATGAAGAAAACCCCTGGTTGCCTAGAACACACTCAAGCCCTCCTTGAAGAGATTAAAGATGCTAAAAGCCACAGAAGACAAGTCCACGTGATCTGGATTGACCTTATGAATGCGTATGGGAGAGTCCCGCACAGCCTTATTATTTATGCCCTACGCCGGTACCACCTACCTGAAAGCTTCATTAAGCTTATAATAGAGTATTATGGAAGCCTCAGTGTCCTAGTTAAGTGCAGGAAATGGACATCCAGAACATTCTGGTATGAGCTAGGCCTGTTCCAGGGAGACCCACTGTCCGTGATCCTGTTCCTTATAGTATTCAACATCCTACTGGAACTTCTAGCTGTACTGTGCAGTCAAGTTGGGTATGAGCCAAGCTTCAGTGATAGCAAAACCTCAAAGAAAGCGTTTGCTGATGACCTAACCCTGTTGTCGAAGAGCGAGAAGGAGATGAAGAATATGTTGAAGGTAGTAGAAGAGTTCCTGGACTGGTCGAAGAAAATGAAGGCTAAACCATCGAAGTGCCTGTCTATGTCTATGAAGTGTACTGGAGGAAAGTACAATACCTATGATGCAGAGTTTGTACTAAGCGAACAACAGGTGCCGTCCATTATCCAAGCACCAATGAAGTTCCTAGGAATGTACATGTATGTAGATCTTGAGGTAAAGGAAATTCGGTCCATGATCAAGAAGAAGTTAGAGGACCTTTTGGAAACAACGTCTAATGATGAAATCACCGGTCCAATGAAGGCGTGGGTGTATAACCACCTCATCATTAGTAAGATGTCATGGGGGTTTACTGTTTATAACCTACCCATCACATTTGTGAGAGAGCTTGAGGCACTGTGTAACAGATACCTTAAGAAGTGGCTAGGGATTGCGCATCCTTGTACCACCACCGTCCTCTACAGGAGTAGAGACCAGAAAGGATTGCAGCTGAAAAACATCTGCACTGAGTACAAAGTCATCCAACTTATTAAGGGACACCAACTTTGTAACTCAAGTGACCCCTACATCAAAAAAGTGTACTCTAACCATAAGGCTATTGCAGACACACAGAAGATGTGGTCTTATCCCAAAGAGCTGAAAGACCGTCAGCGCCAACTTTACTTCCAAGAGTTAGTTGGAAAACCTGCAGTTGGTACAACTGGCCTCGGGTATGGGACAAGATATGAGGACACATCAGAGAGGAAACTGCTAACCAACATGGTGAGGACATTTGATGAAGAGACACTTATTTGTTCACTTTTTGACAAAAAGCGGCAAAACCTCTTTCTCACATGGGAAAATACAATGACATTTGACACCACATGGAATAACTTGATCTATCAACTTAGTCCGGAACTTTTAAAGTTTCATGTCAATGCTATTCATGACACTGCGTCAACACCTAGCAACCTAAAGCTTTGGAATAAAGCTGTTTCAGGAAACTGTAAACTCTGCAGCAAACAAGGGACACTCAATCATATCCTGACGTTCTGCAAGGTTGCACTAAGACAGGGACGTTTCAACTGGCGCCATGATCAGGTCCTACGTGAAATCATGAAGACTGTTTCATCACAGATTGAAGAGTTTAATTCCGACATCGCCAAGGAATCGAAGAGGGCACCGTCGGTCTTTCACAAGGCAGGCAATAAGCGCGAGAAGGTTACCTTAGCTGACCCAACTCATCATAAGACCCAAAGATATTTCTTTTCAGATGCCAACGACTGGAAGATATTATTTGATGAGGATGATAGACAGAGGAACTTCCCGCAGCACATTGCAGCTACACCACTAAGACCTGATGTAGTGATCTATTCAGATAAAGCAAAGAAGGTTTATCTAATGGAGCTGACTTGTGGAAATGAGCAGAACTTTGCTGATCAAGAGAAGCGAAAGATGAAGAGATATCAGCAGCTGACAGAAGAGATAGAAGCCAACGGATGGGCTTGCAAGCTCCAGACAGTAGAAGTGGGAGCTCGAGGCATTTACAACTATAGCCTCCCAACCTTTATGAACCACCTGAACGTAAACAACAAAGAGAAGAAGAAGGCCTGCATGAAGATCGCTGAGATCAGCCTGAGGGCATCGTATACCATCTATTTGTCCAGAAACAATACCATATGGACAGATGATTGGGAGTTAGTCAAGAGACCAGTAATAGCATAGTAGGAGCGTAGAATGTTTGGGCCCAGAAAAACATGTTTAATACCGCTATGAACCCGTCATAAGCCGGGGACTACTATGAAAGTGATGATGCTGTGTTGTTGAAAGACCTTCGACCAATCAAAGATGTACCTCATCACGCCAAGCAGTTATGCTTGTAGGTGAATATACACTTATAGAGTACAACAACTTTATAACACTCCATGAGGCTTCTGGCTTATACTCTTATAGTCAAACTACGCTAATGAGTTATGGGACCCCGTTATAAATACTAGCAGGAACCCGTCAAACCTTTAAGACTGGTGTCAAGGCTCTTTGGTGGCCGGATCAGTTTCCTACCCTAAAGTCTCCCAGTAAAAATAATTATTACCTATTTAATTCGCGTTTTTGACACCACTTGGGGTCCAAATTTTGGGTACTAAAATTCTTATTCCTTGGCCGATTTTCGATTTTTTCATGCTGATTTGAAGGCCATTAAAACATTTGAATCAGTTCAAAAAGTTTCAGTTTTATATCTTGTACGGTTTTTGCGGAAACCCGTGTTAAAGTTGATGCCGTGGTGTCAGTAAAATGGTGCGGATAAATAAATATATATATATCGTCTCGCTTTATATATAGTAATATAACCACACGAGACAACAGATCCCTCGTGCGTTGCCTGGACGTTGGTAGACGTAACGTGGTTTGTGATATATTTTGATTATATACTGCAATTTAATTGAATGCACAATTGCACTATCCATAATTGGAATACATACCACTTTCACGCATATACGCAATTAATGAGTTTCTAATCAACTGCAGTGCAATTTGTTCACCCTTAATGGTAGACGGGAAATGCTCCTATGTTTTACAGTTTAACGTACGGACCAGCTGCAATCTACCCAGCCGGGTCTTTTCTGATTTTAACTAACTTTTACGTTAATACTTTTTGTCGTGTGGATGAGGTGATTATATTTGTGTTTTGCACATTTGTAGCTTTTTATTTACAACACAAATCTATTACATTTATTGAGAAT